ACTTGAAGCCAGAAGTTCAAGATCAGCCTAGGCAACATAGTGAGATGGCTGTCTCTACAAAAAAATTTAAAAATTAGCCAGGCATGGTGGCATGCACCTGTAGTCCTAGCTACTGGGAAGGCTACAGTGGGAGGATCACTTGAGCCCAGCAGTTCGAGGCTACAGTGAGCTATCATCATACCACTGCATTCCAGCTTGGGCAACAGTGAGACCCTGTCTCTTAAAAAAGCAAACGCATACTAGAATGGTGGTAGGGCAAGTGGATATCCATATGCAAAAGAATGAAGTTTGACTCTGTTAAAAGATAAACTTAGGCACATTAAATTGTTTTTTATTTGAGAAAATAGCAATAATTACTTGGGCAGCACCAGATCATATGCAGTTCAGAGTTCCACCAATGGAACACCAGAGGAATGCTTTTATAGGGTGAACTCAGAAGCAAAACAAAGCAAATATTTGATTGGTTAAAGTGGCATAGTAGTAGCCTTTTTTGGATCATTCCGGTGGAAAGTTTCTAGTTAGAAGGTAGTTGGCAGTTTTTGATTGGTTAAGCTTCAGTTTTGTTTTACCATTTATACTGAGTTGAGTTTTGGTTTGCTTACATAGGAAGCCGGGATGCTGGAGCTGCCTCAGTTTAATGAATTTCCAGTTAATTATCTTAACAACCCCACTTCACATCATATATACAAACTAACTCACAATGAACACCTAAATGTAACTGCGAAAGCTAATAAACTTACAAAAAAAAAAAAAAAAAAAAACACAGGGGTAAGTCTTTGTGGCTTTGGATTAGTTTCTTAGATATAACACCAAAGCCTAAGCAGCAAAAGAAAAACTAGATAAATTAGACATCATCAAAATTTAAAACTTTCATGTTTCAAAGGACGCTATCAAGAAAATGAAAGACAGCCCACAGAATGGGGGAAAATATTTGCAAATCATGTATCTGATAGAAACTTGCTTCTAGAATATATTAAAACTCGTAATAATAAAAAGGCAAAGAAAAATACTCAACTTAAAAATGGGAAAAGGATCTGAATAGACATTTCTCCAAAGAAGATGTACGAATGACCAATAAATAACTACATGAAAAGATTCTCTTTTTTTTTTTTTTGAAACCGAATCTCATACTGTGGCCCAGGCTGGAGTGCAATGGCCTGATCTCAGTTCACTGCAACCTCCACCTCCCGGGTTCAAGCAATTCTCCTGCCTCAGCCTCCTGAGTAGCTGGAATTACAGGCACTCGCCACCACGCCCAGCTAATTTTGTGTATTTTTAGTAGAGACAGGGTTTCACTGTGTTGGCCAAGCTGGTCTCAAACTCCTGACCTCGTGATCCACCCACCTCAGCCTCCCAGAGTGCTGGGATTATAGGCATGAGCCACCGTGCCTGGCCTAAGATTCCTAACATTAATAGTTATCCAGGAAAATGCAAACAACAGTAAGATACCACTTTATACACACTAGCATGGCTAGAATCAAAAGGCAGACATTAACAAGCGATTACCAGAACGTGGAGAAACCCTCATACCCTACTGGTGGAATCAAATGATAGAGCCACGTTCAAAAACAGTCTAGTATTTCCCCAGATGGTTAAACTTAGCATTACTTCATGATCCAGCAATGCCAGCCCTATGTATAAACCCAAAAGAAGTGAAAACATGTCCACACTAAAACTTGTACACACACGTTTATAGCAATATTATTCATAATAGCCAAGAAATAGAAACAACCTAAATGACTACCAACTGACAAATGGATAAACATTCTAATGTATATCCACACAATAGAATGTTATTTGGTCATTAAAAGGAATGAAATACTGATACATATTACAACATAGATGAATCTTGAAAATATTATGCAAAGTGAGAGAAGTTAGTCATAAAAGACCATGTATTATTTGATATGTGTTAAATGTCTGGAATAGACAAATCTATATAGACAGAAAGTAGAATAGCAGTTGTCAAGACTGCAAGGAATAGGGGGCTGGAGAGCAATAGGTAAATGGTTCATGATTTCTTTTGGAGGTTATAAAATATTTTAAAATTGACTGTGGTGATGGTTGCATGTGCTGTGAATATACTATAAGCCATTGAATCTCAGACTTGAGTGAATTGTATGGTCCTAAAAAAAAAAAAAAGGGTTGTGTGCCAAAAGGTCTTTGTCACCTGAGCTATATGTCAATAAATTTTTACCAAAAAGAGAAAATTATGAAAATAAGCCGATTTTTGCAAGAGTATTTACCAAATGGCATGCCTCTAAGCCAAAAATTCCAATTATCTTATATAAAGATGTATGTGATACCCCAAACCATTGTATTATATACTTTAAAATGGTTCATACAGTAAATTTTATGTAATGTTTTACCTCAATTTTTATAAAAGTCTATTTGCTTAAAAACATTAATATAAAAAAATTAATTCAGCAAAGAAAGCCCAGTGAAACAAGTCAGAACACAAATTGTTTTTGATATCAACTCGCCAAGCAGAGAATTCGGAGGGAAATCAAAATTATGTACCTGCTGGGCACAGCAGTTCACACCTGTAATCCCAACACTTTTGCAGGCCAAGGTAGGAAGATTGCTTGAGCTCAGGAGTTCGAGACCAGCCTGGGCAAGAGCAACCACTCTGGCTCTTAAAAAAAAAAAAAAAAAATGTGTACCAAAAGTATTTGTCACTGGAGTGCAATGACTACGTATTCAGAGGCATGATCATAGCTCACTGTAGCCTCAAACTCCTGGACTCAAGTGAGCCTCCCTCCTCAGTCTTCTGAGTAGCTTGGACTACTACAAACAAGTCCAAGAGTCCCACAGAAAGCCACCAAATGAGAGTCCTCAAAATTAACTTAGTGGAACCTTAAATGTTAAGGAGAGATCACCACTTGCATATGTGAAACAATGAAGCTGGATGCATTACTTGCTATGCAAAAGAGGCTGAATGTATTACTTGCTAAGAAAAGAGAATGACACGAAACACATTCACTCTGAACAAAGCAAGAGTTGATATATATACGGTTTTGAGAAGGTTGAATGTCAGGGATTGGCAGATTTTCAAAACTAGGAATGTTTTAAGGAGTTGACTCACTTTTAGCCATGGTGTTTAGAGTTTGGAGGACTAGTAGAAGCAGAAGCTGTCACAGATTAGCCGACTTTCAGAGGCATGGCTGTTGGAGCAAAGCAGCAGTTACTTTCTTTTTTTTTTTTTTTTTTTTGAGACGGAGTCTCTGTCGTCCAGGCTGGAGTGCAGAGGCACGATCTCGGCTCACTGCAAGCTCCGCCTCCTGGGTCCACGCCATTCTCCTGCCTCAGCCTCCCGAGTAGCTGGGACTGCAGGCGTCCGCCACCACGCCCAGCTAAATTTTTGTATTTTCACTAGAGACGGGGTTTCACCGTGTTAACCAGGATGGTCTCGATCTCTTGACCTAGTGATCTGCTCACCTTGGCCTCCCAAAGTGCTGGGATTACAGGCGTGAGCCGTTGCACCCGGCCGGCAGTTACTTTCTGATCAGAAGGGATTTAAAACTGGTTCTGTGGCTACTCGTTTATGGTTTATGGAACAAGGGCTAAAGAATAAACAGTTATTCCCTTTCCTGAATTTGGAGAATAGGAACTTTTTATTCTCAATCTCTGCTATTTCTGCCAGCCACATCATAAATTTAGTTTAAAAGCAAAGATATTACTGTTAGTTGACAAACAAGTTAATCAATAAAGGCAGCCAAGTCAACAAGTCAAAGGGGGAATTCTTTTTTTTTTTTTTTCCCCCGAGACGGAGTCTCACACTGTCACCCAGGCTGGAGTACAGTGGCACGATTTTGGTTCACTGCAAACTCTGCCTCCCAGGTTCGTGCCATTCTCCTGCCTCAGCCTCCGTAGTAGCTGGTACTACAGGCACCTGCCACCACACCGAGCTAGTTTTTTGTATTTTTAGTAGAGACAGGATTTCAACGTGTTAGCCAGGATGGTCTCGATCTCCTGACCTCGTGATCTGCCCCCCTCGGCTTCCCGAAGTGCTGAGATTACAGGCGTGAGCCACCATGCCCGACCCAAAAGGGGAATTCTTTAAGCTTGTGCTGAAGAATGTTAGAATTGTTACAGAGAAGTTCTTTAATATTAAAAATTATTGTTATTAAAGAGACACAGTAGTTTGTAACTCAGTATCATTGAATGGCAGTCTTTCAAGATTGGTAGAGCCAATCTTGAAAGAATTGGTAGAGCCCATTCAGTCTTTTCTTGGAAAAGTAGAAGCACAGTTATATAGGATATTTATTCAAAAAAGGTTACTGAACACGTAACAGGAGAATAACGCTGAATGTCAATGCTCAAGTCTTAAAGGAGCCCCCAGTTATATCAAACAGTCATACTTAGTTAAATAGCTAAGTATAATTTAGTGCCTATCACATTGTAATTAGATCTATATGGAGTGCTTTAGGAGCAGAGAAAAAGGAGTTATTAACTGCCTGAGGAAGGTGGAAAAATACTTAGAAAAATCTTTGTGGAAAGGGTAATATTTGAACAGACTGTCAAAAGATAAGCCACTCACCAGGCATCAAAAAGCAATGAGAAGGCACACAGGCACGCAAGCACATGATGGATCAGAGGAATAGCAAGTGGGACAGTGGAGTGGGAGCATGGGGGTGGGGGGGTGTGGAAAGAAGCAGTAGAAGGAAATAACTCAGCCAAACTGTGAAAGATATTTTTTATTCCTAGTTAAGAATTAGTTAATTCTTTACTCAGTAGGTAATCAGGAGTTATGAAAGTTTTTTAACAGGGGAACAACATGATGAGGTCATTCACAGACTGTAAAAGACGGATTACAGAGGAGAATACAAAGTCCAGGAGACGGGTTAGAAGGCTACTGAAAATGCTGGATTTCAGGATGTTCTGAGGCATAGCCTTATGAACAGGAAAAGGAAGCAGACTTTATCACTCTTGATCTCTTCCTCTTCACAAGTTATATTTGATCTATCATCAATACTGTGCCCTTGATGCAATGCAAGTATGTGTTCACTTCAGTATCACATATACTAAAATTGGAACGATACAGAGAAGATTAGCATGGCTCCTATGCAAAGATGACACTTAAATTCATGAAGCATTCCATACTTTTATTTAAAAAAAAAAAAAAAGCAAGTATTTCATTGTTAGGACACCCTGATTCTTTTCTTTTGTTCCTGATCTCTGTCTCTCTGCCTCTGTCTCTCTCTCTCTCTCTCTTCTTCCCTCCACCCCCTCCACCCTCTCTTTCCCTTCTTCACTATCTCCCCTCTCTCTCCCCTTCTCTTGCCCTGCTCCAAGTGAAAAATCAGCATCTGTGCCAGGGAAGAGTTGCTAGTAAATATCAAGATTGTTCTAATTAATCGATTAGGAAGAACTTGATTAATTTGAAGGGGAAAAAGGCTTGATTTCCTTTTTTTGATAGGGATATAAACAAGAAGTTTATAATAAATGGTAACTTGTCTGGGTGAGGTGGCTCACGCCTGCAATCCCAGCACTTTGGGAGGCTGAAGCAGGTGGATCACCTGAGGTCAGGAGTTCGACACCAGCCTGGCCAACTTGGCAAAACCCCGACTCTACTAAAAATACAGAAATTAGCCAGATGTGGTGGCACACACCTGTAATCCCAGCTACTTGGGAGGCCGAGGCAGGAGAATTGTTTGAACCTGGGAGGCAGAGGTTGCAATGAGCCAAGATCACACCACTGCACTCCAGCCTGGGTGACAGAGTGAGACTCCACCTCAAAAAAATTAAAAATTAAAAATTAAAAAAAAAATGGTAACTTAAAAAATAAAAGCTACATTGCTACAAAGAATACAGTTGTGCAAAAATATGTCTGCATGTGGACAAAGCCTTGAGAATATTTGCCGTGTAAGACTGATAGGATCATGTATGATTCTTTTCCTTTTAAGTAATTTCCTTTCATAACAGTTGTATACTTTCTAGGGTTTTTTATTTGTTTGTTTGTTTGTTTGTTTTGTTTTATTTTTTTAAATAGAGTCTTGTTCTGTCACCCAGGCTGGAGTGCAGTGGTGTGATCTCCGCTCACTGCAACTTCCCCTTCCTGGGTTCAAGTGATCCTCCCACCTTAGCCTCCCAAGTAGCTGGGACTACAGGCCCGTGATACCATGCCTAGCTAATTTTTTTTTTTCAGCACTTAAGTTCCAGGATGCATGTGCAGAATGTGCAGGTTTGTTATTAGGGTGGTGCAAAAGTAATACTGGAATATGTGTCATGGTGGTTTGCTGCACAGATCAACCCATCACCTAGCTATTAAGCCCAGCTCCATTAGCTGTTCTTCTTAATGCTCTCTTTCCCCACCCATGATCCCCTCACAGGCCCCAGTGTGTGTTGTTCTCCCCCACTCATGTGTCCATATGTTCTCATTGTTCAGCTCCCACTTATAAGTGAGAGCATGCAGTGTTTGGTTTTCTGTTCCTGTCTTAGTTTGCTGAGGATAATGGCATGCAGTTCCATCCATGGCCCTGCAAAGCACGTGATCTCTGTCCTTTTTATGGCTGCATAGTATTCTATGGTGTATATGTACCACATTTTCTTTATCCATTTGATCATTGATGGTAATTTGGGTTGATTCCTTATCTTTGCTATTGTGAATAATAAAAGCCTTGACTTCTGACCATTTTCTTCGTTCTGTAGATAATTAAATTGAAAGCTGAAGCTCGGCTGGACCTGCTAAAGCAGATCGGTGTTTCTGTGGACACATGGCTAAAGAGTGCCATGAGCCAAGTAATGGAAGAACTGGAAAATGAGCGATGGGCCCGCCCTTCTGCAGTGACCAGTAATGGCACTTTACACTCGGTATGATTTCTTTTCTTGGATATGATAAGTTGATTTTCATTGAAGGATGCTTTGACTCTATAGCCAAACTTATTAATAGCCAAAATTTTTTAAAAAGATAATAGTTTGCTAGTGGTTTAGGTTTTATTCTTCAGCCTATCACTAATTGATTTAAAATTATTGCAGGAAATGAAAGAGAGGAAAAAAAATGAGTGTATTTTTTAATGTATGATGAAGAATATGTTATCACTATTTGGGTTATCAATGCCTATCTACCAAACTCATCCCATTCATAGGGTAAATATGCTTCATGTCTGGAAGTAATAGAATAGAAAACAATTTAGTGTCTCTGAAGTTCTCGGAGGTCATCTTTAGTGAAAATGAAAATAAACATCCAGAGATTTGCACACAATCTTAAGTGAAAGGAATGCTCTTCTTAGTGTGTGGGCTTAGTCTGAGGTGACTTCAACTCTTAACAGCTTTCATATTCTCCTTACATAGAGAGAGTGTAGGTGAGTTTGTTTACAGGCAAGGCCAGGACACAGCTTAAGTTTCCTTACTTCAAGTCCAGGGCTTTTTCCACTCTGATGTCATTTGGTTCAACCTTAGTTTTTCATGTTGGAGATCTAAGTACTAGAAAAGTTCATTTGCCTGATATTACATAGGTGGATACGTGATGCCTTGCTAGTCAGACTAATGTAATTCCTACTGTCACCTCCCCACCCATTACTCTCTGTCATCCTGTTTATTTCCTCAATGGTATTTATTATAGTTTGAACTTGCCTTCTTTATTTGTTTTCTTTTGTTTATTGTTTTCCTCTCTAGAATGTAATTGCCATATCTTCCTGGTTCCCTGCTCTGCACAGCAAAGTGCCTGACACATAGTAGGTACTTAAATATTTTTTGAAGGAAGGAGTGAATGGCTGGATGGCTGAGTAGGTAGTTGGAATACTAGCAAACTAAAAGCTAAACTTCTAACCTCCCAACTTCCCACTATCTTCATAGTGCCTCTTTAAATGTTGTGCTCTTCAGATATCAGGCAGGCTTGCTAGAGAAACTGGCCAAAATTTTAAAACATTCCTGAAGTTTTTTTACATAGCATTCTGATTTTCTAATGAGAATACACTTGCACATTTAAAAAGGATTATGTGTGGGTCTACATTTTAAGGAAAAACAATCTATTGAAGCTTTATTTTCGTTTAACTATTAATGTTAATCCAGCTGGAGGGAAAAAGAAACATCACCCACTTGACTTTGGGGTTACAAGCGCTTCCCCAGTTGTTATTAGAACAGAGTTGCTCCGGCCGGGCGTGGTGGCTCACACATGTAATCCCAGCACTTTGGGAGGCTGAGGCAGATGGATCACCTGAGGTCAGGAGTTCGAGACCAGCCTGGCCAACATGGTGAAACACTGTCTCTACTGAAAATACAAAAATTAGCCAGGCATGGTGGCGGACATCCATAATCCCAGCTACTCGGGAGGCTGAGACAGAAGAATTGCTTGAACCCATGAGGCAGAGGTTGTAGGGAGCTGAAATCATGCCATTGCACTCCAGCCTGGGTGACAAGAGTGAAACTCCATCTCCAAAAAAAGAAAAACAGAACAGAGTTGCTCCATCTCATGGAGTATCTCCTACTATTGCGCTTTCTAAAAGTCATAATGCTCATCTACTTCAGATTGTTGTAGAGTTTTTGATGACAACAAATTCCAGGCCCACTTGCTTTGGGCTTCTACAGCAGGACTGTTTCCAACCAATCAAACCCATGATTTTCCTTCAACTAGCACCTTTTCTAACCAAATCAATTGAGCAGGCACATACCATCTGACTTTGAACTGAGCAGGCGCATACCACCTAACTTTGTACTTACTTCCTGGGCAAACTGAAGATGAACAAAACTTGGTCTCCTTCCTCATAGAGTTTACAAGCTAGGAGACCAGACAGACCTTTATAGATCTTAGTGATACATGGCAGTGTATGACTGGGCTACTGTGTAGCAAACTTGGAATTGCTTACTTCTAACTCATCTGCACACCTTGGAAAAAGTCACTTCTCTTGTGTTTCCGAAAGAAAGATTAAAAGACTCTCAGATTCCCACCATCCCCCCCACCAACCAACTCCAGAATCTTGTGATTCTTTGAAATACTGTCAGAAAAGCTCAATATCAGCTAGAATAGGGAAGAAAGTGTGCCCCATGGAGGATATGTCATTTGGAATAGTCCTTGAAGAATTTTAACGGGAGATAAAGAAGGGCTGTTCTCGTTGTGAAGGAAGGAAATGAAGGAGTTGTGCCTAGTACAGTAGTAGTAAGCATTGAGACCTGTCCAGAGAAATCACTCATCTAGAGGCATATCATATCCTCTGTGAAGGGAGCATTTTGCATTCCCGTCCCATGTTGTTCTTCTCCCTAGTCAATCTTATGAACCTGCATCTTTCAACTGAGAGATGACATTTTGTGGAAGATTTAATAATATAAATAAAGGAGAGACATAGGCACAAAATAGCTTAATGAGGACCCATATTTATTTAATCTGCTTTTAAATAACAGCACTGAAATTATTTAGAGGGGGCTGTATCTCTTCATACTGACAGCTAGCTGGCTAAGGAACATGAAGCAGAAATACACATTCTAGAGGCTAAATTATTTCTTCCATTACAGGTGCCAACAAAACCATTCGTCATCTGGAAAACATGATTAATACTACTGTTAGACATTAATAGTAGTGCAACTGAAAATGCCTTGTGGAAGATAAATGTTTTAAAAAGACACAGGCTACTCCCTTATAGAATAAGGAAGGAACTATACTTACTTGGGTATTAACTCTGCCTTCTGTATCATGTTAAGGTACAGAATGTAAGATTGGAAGAAAGGAATTCCAGAGTATAGCAACATTGTTTTTAAAGGAGAACAGTCCACTGACACAGTTCCTCAGCTGCAGGTGGCCAGAGCCTGCGTGCTGCTTCCCCTGTTAGATTGCTGCCAGTGACCCCATCAGCCTGTGTCACTCGGCCTCCCTTCTCTTGTTGTCGGGTTTCTCTTACTCAAAAGCCATACCAAGATGACAACCTGACTTTTGAAATTATATTAATTCTACAATAGAAAAAGTTATGTAAGCAGATTACTAAAAAATTGGAAAATACAATAAAGAAGAAAATGATTAATAGCTCCATCCTTATAACAGTACAGCTAGCAATTCAGTGTATTTACTTTTTTATTTATTTATTTTTTAATTTGCAAAAAATTGTATATATTTATAGCATACAACATAATGTGTATTTTTGTTTGTTTGTGTGGAGACAGTCTTGCTCTATCACCCAGGCTGAAGTGCAGTGGTGCTGTCGATGGCTCACTGCAGCCTCAACCTTTGGGGCTCAATGAATCCTCCTGCCTCAGCCTCCTGAGTAGCTGGGACTACAGGCTCATGCCCCCATGCCCAGCTAATTTTTGTATTTTCACCATGTTGCCCAGGCTAGTCTCATACTCCTAGGCTCAAGCAGTCCACCCACATTGGCCTCCCAAAGTGCTGGTATTACAGGCATGAGCCACCACACCCAGCCCATATCTTTATTCTTTCTATTCTTTTATTTGTGAGCCACTACACCCACCCTGTTCTTTTATTTCTTGCATTTTCAAACTATAGCCCACAGTCTTAACATCACTTCCCTGTTTTCAGCCACTTTCCCCAACTAATGTACAAAGGCAAACTGCCAGTCTACTCTGTTGTACAGCCTCCCTTAGAGTATGAACATCTGCAGAGTTGCATATAAATAAATTCTGACTCTGGTCTTTGTGAGGACCATGCTCAATAACGATGTTGGAGATAAGGGTAAGATAAGGAGTTCCTAAAACTGCTAAGATCATATGCTGTGGCTGGGTCATACAATAGGTATTTATTTAACATTTTAAGAAACTGACAAACTGTTTTCCAAAGTGGTTATACCATTTTACAGTCCCATCAATAGGGTACTAGTGTTTCAGTTATTCCACAATCTTGGCAACACTTAGTATAGTCAGTCTTTTTAACTTTAGACATTCTAATAGGTGTGATGTTGTAAATCATTGTCATTTTAATTTCCATTTCCCTGATAATGTTGAGCATCTTTTCATGTGTTTGTTTGCATCTGTATATTTTCTTTGGTGAAGTGTCTGTTCAAATCTTTGTTTATTTTTTATTAGGTTTGTTTTCTTTTTATTGCATTTTAAGAGTTTATACTCTGAATACAAATCCTTTATCAGATATTTTGATTTATGTAATTTTCTTCTAGTCTGTGGCTTATTTTTTTATTTCCTTAATATCTTTCAAAGGGCACAAATGTTTAATTTTAATGAAGTCCAACCTACCAATTTTTCTTTTATGGATCGTATTTTTGGTGTGGTAGCTAAGAAATCTTTGCCTAAAACCAAGGTCATAAAGATTTTCTCCTAGGTTTTCTTCTAGAAGTTTTATAGTTTTAGGTTTTACATTTAAATCTGTAATTCAGCATGAGCTCATCTTTGATTATGGTAAACAGAGTAAGTCAGAGTTCTTTGTCCCTTTTTGGAACTTTTTTTTAACTGTCCTTTCTCCACTGAATTGCCTTTGCATCACTGTCAAAAATCAGTTATTCAGGCCCACCTGTATTCCCAACACATTGGGCTAAGTGGGAGGATCTCTTCTGGCCAGGAGTTTGAGATCAGCCTGAGCAACACAGTAGACCCTGTCTCTAAAAAAAGAAAAAAAAAAAATTTCAACTAGCCAGGCACTGTGGTACATTCTGGCAGTCTTAGCTACTCAGGAGGCTAAGGCAAGAAGATATCTTGAACCCAGAAGTTCAAAGTTACAGTGAACTATGATTATGCCACAGAATTCCAACTTGGGAAGCTGAGCAAGACTTTGTCTCTTTAAAAAAAAAAATTAATCATATATGTATGGGTCTGTTTCTTGACATTTTATTCTGTTCCATTGATCTATTTGTCCAGCTTGATGCCAGTACTACACTGCCTTAATTACTGTAATTTTAGAATAAGTCATGACCTCAGGT